CCACCCACACCTTGCAGGCGCAGCTGCGTCTTTTCAACCAACGTTTGAATGAGGTACAACAAGAAGTTCGCAGGTCAAAAGGAGAGCCCGGAACGGAAGGGTACCAAGGATCCCCGTTCGCGCCCGAAATACAAGATCAGGCCATCCCGCCGCACTTTCGGCTTCCGTCCCTGGACACCTATAACGGTGCCACCGACCCCGCGGACCACGTGGCCGCGTTTCGCGCCCAAATGGCGCTATACGGAACCTCCGACGCCCTGATGTGCAGGGCATTCCCGACAACTTTGAGGGGGCCGGCCCGCGCATGGTACAGCAGCCTCAAGGCAGGAACCGTCTCTTCTTTCGACCAGCTCGCCCGGGACTTTGAGCTCAACTTCCTCGCCTACGCGCGTCCGAAGCCATCCGCGGCGCTGCTCCTCGGACTCAACCAAGGGGAAGATGAGTCCCTTTCCCACTTCTTGGACCGTTTCACGACGCAGATCCGAGGGCTCTCGGACGCTCATCCCTCTCTATTGATGCAGGCGTTCATGATAGGCTTACGACCCTCCAGGTTCTTCTGGTCCCTGGTAGAGCGACCCCCCACAACTGTACCAGAGATGCTTCAACGGGCGAGCCAATTCGTCGCTGCAGAGACGTGGATGGCCGGGAGACCCAGGGGACACAGGGGGACCAAATCGGAGCCGCCTCGACAGCAACAGCCACCAACATCTCGGCGCAGGTCGGACAGATCTGACCCGACGGCTCCGAGGCCCCCCCTGCCAGCTTTGAATTCATCTCAAACAGACATATTCCTTCATATAAGGGGAAAAGGTTTGCTCAAGGAACCCTACCCGATTAATGACCCCTGGGTGCTGGCAGATCAATCAAAATACAGCCGCTTCCACCGGCAGCGTGGGCACGACACTGAACAATGCCGGGAGTTGAAAAGATAGATCGAGGAACTCATCCGCAGGGGGCACCTCGATCAGTATCTCCACCCGAACAAAGAATCTTCTCCCCGCCCGGAAGGGCCCGTCGAGCGACGTATCGACGTGATATCAGGCGGCCCCACGTCCGGTGGAGACTCCATGGCCCGCAAGAAGGCATACGCCCGAGCCACCTCAGCTGAGGCCCCCAGACAGGCGCTCGGACCCAGTGTCACCTTCCCGGCCAAGGCGTATGAACAGGCCAAACACGATGATGCACTCGTGATATCAGCCAGGATCGCTAACGCGCAGGTACAAAGGATCATGGTCGACACCGGAAGCTCGGCCGACATACTATACCTCGACGCCTACCGGAAGCTCGGCCTACCCAGAGATAGCATGAAGCCGGTGTCCTCAGCGCTCACCGGCTTCACCGGTGATTCAGTCTCGCCGCTGGGGGCGGTTACCTTGCCCCTGACCCTGGGAGTTCCACCAAAGTCGAAGACAACGATGACCACCTTCTTGGTCATCGACCTCCCCGCCGCTTACAACGCCATCCTTGGCCGGCTGACACTCAACAAAGTTAGAGCTGTCGTCTCGACCTACTATTAGACCGTGAAGTTCCCGACCTCCGCAGGGACCGGTGAAACTACGGGAAGCCCTCGAGAATCCCGGCGTTGTTACTTGGCCGTCGTCTCGCTACCTAAGAAGCCCAGGGTCGAACCACCGTGGACGGACCCCCGAGAAATGCAAAGGTCGGCTCCCCATGCCGAGCCGAAGGGAACCACCGTCGCTGTGTCACTACAGGAAGGACGCCCGGAACGGGCGATTAGGGTCGGGTCAGAGCTGCCTGAGCACGAACGAGAACAACTCGTCGGCCTCCTACAAGAAAACGCTGATGTCTTCGCTTGGTCACCCTCTGACATGCCAGGCGTCGACCTAGGGGTCGCCCTACATCGCCTCAGTATCTCCGCCGATGCTCGTCCGGTAAAACAAAAGCTGAGGCGACACGCCCCAGAACGGCAAACAGTCGTACGAGAAGAAGTAACTCGCCTCTTGAAGGCAGGCTTCATAAAAGAAGCCGGATACCCGCAATGGTTGTCCAATGTAGTTCTTGTCAAAAAAGCAAATGGAAGCTGGAGGATGTGCGTTGACTACACAAGCCTTAACAAGGCATGCCCGAAGGACTGCTATCCCCTACCAAGGGTCGACCAGCTGGTTGACGCCACGGCAGGCCACACCCGCCTGTCATTTATGGACGCCTTCTCGGGCTATAACCAGATTGGGATGGCACCTGAAGATCAAGAACACACGGCCTTCATCACCAATCAAGGAGTCTACTTTTACAAGGTCATGCCCTTCGGACTGAAAAATGCCGGCGCGACATATCAAAAGGCGGTAAACAGGATATTCGCCCGCCAGATCGGCCGCAACATGGAGGTGTACGTCGACGACATGATCGTAAAGAGCCAAGAAGCCGGGACTCACTTGGCTGATTTGGCCGAAGCTTTCGCTACACTCTGCCAGGTCGGCATGCGGCTCAACCCCGCGAAATGCGCCTTCGGCGTCACATCAGGAAAATTCCTCGGATTCATCGTGCATGAAAGAGGGATCGACGCCGACCCAGAGAAGCTCCAGGCAATCATCAACATGCAATCGCCCCGGACTACCAAGGACTTGCAGCACCTCAATGGGAAACTCGTCGCCATGTCCCGATTCCTCGCTCGGTCAGGAGATCGCTGTTTCCCCTTCTTCAAGGCACTGCAAAACCCGAAGGGCTTCCAATGGACGACAGAATGCGAGGAAGCCCTCCAGCAAGTAAAACGACACCTGGCCAATCTCCCGCGGCTCACCTCGGTCACTCCCGGCGAAAAACTGAGCATCTATCTGGCCGCTTCCCCGCACGCAGTAAGCTCCGTCCTGGTTAAAGAAAGCTCCAACGGCCAGCTCCCGGTCTACTACACAAGCCACGTCCTCAGCGGCCCGGAGGAACGATACCCTCCGATCGAGAAGCTGGCGCTCGCCCTTGTGCTATCCGCCCGGAAACTGTGCCCCTATTTCCAGGCTCACCCCGTGGAGGTAGTTACGGACCAACCACTTCGGTTGGTCCTGTCTAAATTTGATGTGGCAGGACGCCTTCTCAAATGGGCAGTAGAGCTCGGCGAACATGACATTCAGTACGTGCCCCGGACGGCCCTCAAAGCCCAATCCATCGCCGACTTCATCGCGGAATTAACCCAAGACGAGAGCGGGAGCCTCGGACGGCCTCCCGAGGCCTGGGTCCTGCACGTCGACGGATCGGCCAACTCAAAGGGTGCAGGTGCAGGGTTGGTGCTCCGAGCCCTCGACGGGCGGACATTCGAGCGTTCCCTCCGCTTCGGGTTCCGCGCCACTAATAACGAAGCGGAGTACGAAGCACTCCTGGCGGGACTCAGGTTGGCCCTCGAGATGCAGGTGGACTCCCTCCGTGTCCACACAGATTCCCAGCTGGTGGCCGAGCAACTCGGTGGAGGATATGAGGCTCGCGACCCGACCATGGCAAGATACCTTGCACAGGTGAGGAACTTAACCACGAAGTTCCATCATCTTACATTATCTAATGTCCCAAGGGCGGAGAACGAGCGCGCTGACGCGCTGGCTAAGCTGGCCTCGAAACCTACCCCCGAAGTCGGGCCGGAGGTCGAGGAGCTACCCGCCCGTGCCTTTGAAATCGCGACCGCAGCTACCGGCAGCGCATCCTCCTGGGTACAAGAACTGCTGCGCTACAAACGGGACGGAATTCTTCCACCCGACAAAGCAACGGCCCGGCGCCTGCTTCGCACGCACGCGTGGTATATCGAGGCGGGCGGGCGGCTCTACAAGCGATCCTTCTCGTACCCCCTCCTGCGATGCTTGGAGCCCGATGAGGCGCAAACCGTCCTGGCAGAGATACATGAGGGTGCCTGCGGAGAACACATCGGTGGGCGGACCTTAGCGCATAAAATACTCCGCCAAGGCTACTACTGGCCGACCATGCGCCGGGATGCGAGAACACACGTGCAGCGGTGTATCTCATGCCAAGAGCACGCCCGCACCCCTCGGCTCCCGGCAGTCCCGCTAGCCCCTATCGACTGCGCTTGGCCGTTTGCGCAATGGGGGTTAGACATCCTCGGGCCCTTTCCCTTAGCCGCAGGATAGCGGAGATTCCTCATCGTCGGCGTGGATTACTTCACAAAGTGGGTCGAGGCCGAACCACTGGCAAAAATCACGGCGCAGCAAGTAGAGAAGTTCGTCTGGAAAAACTTGATCACCCGTTTCGGCCTGCCCAAAACCATCATTACGGATAACGGGCCCCAGTTCTCCAGTCAAGGATTTCGGGAGTTCTGCGCAAGACACGGAGTCCAACTGAAGTACAGTTCAGTCGCTCATCCCCAAATGAACGGGCTAACAGAAGTGACCAACCGGTCCATCCTGGACGGGCTCAAGAAAAGAGTATCCGCGGCTCGGACGACCTGGACGGACGAGCTCCCGAGTGTACTATGGGCACTGCGCACCACCCCAAAGACAGCGACAGGAGAATCTCCGTACAGCCTCGCATTCGGAACCGAGGCGGTACTTCCCCCCGAGATAGCCATTGCCACCCTCCGGACAAAAGGCTACGACGAGGAAACCTCGGATGAAGGACTCCGAGCCGCCCTTGACTTACTGGAAGAGCGACGTGCAGACGCACATGTAAGAGCCCTCTCCTACAAGAGGGCGATCGCGAGGGTCTACAACCGAAAGGTAAGACCTCGACCTATCAAATTGGACGACCTGGTCCTGCGGCGGGCTGAGGTCAGTGACCCGACCCGACAAAGAGGCAAGCTAGCCCCCAGTTGGGAAGGCCCCTATCGGGTGACCGAAGTCATCGAAACCGGCGCATTCCGGCTCGCCACAACGGAAGGCCAGCCCTTGCCAAGAACCTGGAATGCACAAAATCTCAAAAAGTTCTTTCCATAAAGACTCGGCCGGTCATAGACCATTGAGAAAGAAGATGGATCATATTCATTCGAAAGCAAAGGGCGTGTTACACAAAAAAAGAAAATATACAAAGGACGTCAATCCTCA